GAAATGATGTGTATGTGTGTGGGAAAAAGAGGTGTGGGGGGGGGGGGGGGAGAAAACCCTGAAATGCACTAAGTTTTCCAAACTTCCAGTCTAGCTTTATCTCTCCCTATTTTCCCTGGGTATGTTTGACTCTGTTATCTGAAATTTCTCCTGAATTATGGTATAGAAGGGTTTGTATCTTTGTTAGAATCTGTGGATTTGAAGATTTAGGAAAGGTTCAGTGCATCCTAAAGTAATAGACTTTGTTTTGGTTTTGACTGTTCAGGAAGTAGGAGCAGAACTGGCTAATTTGTTCTGGAGGAACTAATTGGTAGTCCTAAATCCTAGGTTTCTAGGGTAGATGAGCATTAATGAGGCTTCTTCTAAAACCCAAAATACAAAATATAAATGGTTCCATATTTGCCACCTAAATAAGGACTTGTTGTGCAAATCTCCCATCTCAGTCTGTTTCCTCGCTGTTCCAGTATGACTGTTAATGTATTTACCTAAGTGTGTAGTCATCACCCAGATCTCATTTATGGATCATTTTCATCTTCCCAGAAAGAAATCTCTTAACCAGCTCAAGTCATCCTTCCCTCTTTATAGATTTTGGTCATTTGTACGAATGGTACCATATAGTATGTGGTCTTTTCATTTATTAGAATGTTAGGTTGTAGCAGTCAGTACTTAATTACTTTTTATTGCTAAGTAATTTTGTGAACATATGTTTTTTATATAACCCACTGGGTCCAGTTACTGCAGCCTATAAGCATATATGGCTGTATGAATATGCTGGTGCCTGGGCAGCCTACCTGTAGAGTCAAAGGAAGTGACTCTCTCTCTTCACAGCAGCCATTAACTATTTATTTATAGGTCCTCAGTTAAGGGTGGGGCTTTGGGAGTACACACACATACACCTTGATTCTCTGATTGTGAGCTGCCATGTTGGTATGAGAATTCAGCCTGGGTCCTTTGCAAGGGACATCTCCCCAGCCCTGTGCTATAATTTTTAACTGGCTTGTCAGACACTTACAGTTGCTTATTCTTAGTGCGTTGATGACCAGTAAAAAGTCTCTGCATTACAAAAAAATGGCTCTGACCAAGGTTGAGAAGCCTTAGCAAAACCACCAGGTTCTTTCTCCCCTTGAATCAGTGACTTCCCCAGCCTGGGTTTGACCATGTTGATAGTTACCAAACCATATACTGTTAATTCTGTAAGTTGATGAACAGTTCAGTTACCACGTCTGAGACACCAGTAACTAATCTGTGACTTTATTTGGGTGTGTTTTGTAGTTTCTTTTGAGTAAATACCAAGATTATTTTTGGGTAAATACTAAGTAAATACCAATAAATGCTAAGGCAAACAATTATTCTACTTCATTTGTAGTTTAACAATTTTAGTAGTGCTGATTTTTGAGCAGGCAATCTCTTGATTATATTATCATTACATTGCTATTTTATGTTTCTAATTGTACCATATTGTGGAGCTAAATATATTGTATGGGAAAGACAAGAAAAATCTAATTGTTCTTTTTACCTCTTGGTCAGTCTTTAGTCTTGTGCTGTCAAAGTAATATGTTTCTCAAAATTAGGGAAGATTTAAGGTTTCACTTTTTCAAAAAAAGTATACTTCATTGATGTTTGGAGTTTACAGTCTAGTATCCTTTAATTATTCGTGGGTTGTGATTTATTTTCGTTTTATGGCACTGGGAATAAAAACCAGGACTGTCTTACCTGTATCAGACAGGCCTACCACTGAGCTACATACATTCCCAGGTCTGAGTTGCAAATTTCTTGTGAATTAGAAATGGTTAGTGAACACTAAAGTTCTACCTTCCAAAGAAACAAATTAAGATAAAATGTGTTATATCTTGAAATTTGCTGGTCACTTTTTTTTTAATCAATCCATTGTATTGAGGGACCAACTAAAGTGAGTGCTGCATGTTCCTCTAGTTTTAGTGGAAGCCTGGTTGTCAGCTCTTGTCTCATAGCATTTGCAGTTCCTTCCCTTTTTGCCATTTGTTTGCTCTGAGCACAGACTGTCCTTGATCCTACAAGGTTTTTTTCTTTCTCTTTCTCTCTCTCTTCCTCATGAGTCATGAATCTTTTTTTTCTGAATGGGTTGATTATTAGAGGGAAATACTAAGAAATTTATGTGATGTTGTTAAGAGTTTGAATACATTCAAAAGCGCTGAGGATGTAGCTTA